GCCGAAAGCGGCCTGAGGTCCCTCGTGGGGAAGCACAGGGGTGATGGGAAGTATGCGCTTGTTGCGCAGAGGCCTCCGAAAACGCTCCCTACCTTCGGAATCCGCTTTTACGACGACTAACCCATATGCGCCTGTGACTTGACTTTCCGAGGTAATATGATCTCATCTGGGTCAGTCCATAATGACTTCAATTGTCGGATAAACAGAATAGCATCGGATATGGTGTAATGGCTAACATTGCCGCCTCTCATACATGTAGGATGGAGTACCAACGCGGCAGCTCGGGGTTCGATTCCCCGTATCCGAACTGACCCTATGTGTCTGATTTTTTTGGCGTGACCTAGTGAATTAGATGAGAGGGACCTCCATGCGCGATTGTTGCGGCTTGCTTGGAAAGGTGAGGTCCTAGGACGTTCCAAATTAGCAGTTCTCGCGCCCGAGGCACGACTCCGAATCCCTTCATCGGTCTCGTGAAAACCGCCGGATTTCGAGTGTATTGCCACCTCTCATTCGTTCTTTATAAGATCTTCGAGTCGTGGCAGCTCGGGGATCGGTTTCCCGTATGCGAATTCTTTTTTTTTCTATTAGAGGTCATGGCTGCAGTTACGTGGGCCACGAACTTGAAGAAGGACAGAAGGTCTTCCAGTAGCTGCAGTGTCTAATGGAGGGACCTTCCTCTGACTTGACTCGAGCTTATTACATTCTGATTATTACATTGTGACCCACTCATTACGCATGATAAATGAAACTTGTACACCTATTCCATCGCACCAACACTCCTCCAATACGCCACATACTCCTCAATATGTCTCCTATCCAACGCCGTGCACCTCACCATCGACACCGAATCCAACTTTGCCATCGCGGTGCGCAGCACAACGCTACCACTCGCCATCGTCTCAAAATCGCGCTCGAGGAAAGACATGATCTTGAACGCGGCATTGCGCTTCGGATCGTCGCCCAGCGCCCTCACGCGGGCGAGCCACTTTGCGAGGGGTATTAGCGGCAGCGGCGCCCCCTGCTTGCCGAGTATCCCAGAGAGGCTGCGCATGATCCCCTCCCACGACTGCCGCGAAGGGTTCTCCATGTGGTAGAACGGTTTGAATCCCCGTGAGAAGAGCAGCTCGGTCAGGATCGACCCGGCGCGGTTGACGGGGAGCCAGGAGAGAGACTGGTATTCGGAGATTTAGTAAGTGCTCCGGAGAGAGAGAGAGAGAGATAACTCACGCCGTGAAGCGCGGGGAGCGCGCCGAGCTGCTGCGAAGCGCGCACGATGATCGGGAAATGCTCAGACTCATTCCACGCACCGGAGCCCTCGGGGCCCGTCATCTGCCCGATGCGCACGCTGCATCCCTGCACTAGCGGTTCGTCCATCCCTGCCGGGACGCCGTAGAGCTCCGTGGCACCCAGCAGGAGGCGCTCGCAGACCCACTTCGCCTCGGGGTACCCGAACTCGGCGCTGTTCGTGGCGTCCAGGAACGTCTCGGGCACCTCGAAGGGCCCTGCGGCGTGCAGCGACGGGAAGCGCCCCGCGACGGCGATCGAGGACGCGAATAGGATGCGAGTGGGCGCGGACCCGACTGCGCGCCGCCCGCCGCTGAGGAGCGCGAGCCGCACGAGGTTGGTCAGTCCGTGGATGTGCGGCTCGAAGGAGGATAGGCTCCGGTTAAAGTTGACCGGCCAGGCATTGTGTACGATGTGTGTAACACTGAGCAACTAGGGGAGAAGAAATCCGGATGAGCCCTTGATATGTCACGCCCCACACGTACCTCGTAAAACTCGTCTTCATCGAGACCAAAATCGTGTCTGCTAAGGTCTGCCGCGTGGATTACAACCTTGTCCCACGCGCGAGCCGACATGAACGCGCCGCGCTTCGCCATCATGTCGATCTGCCGTTGAAGAGGTGCCGCCGCCGTATGTACGCGATTGAGACAAAAGACTCTCGACACGTCCGGGTCGCTCGCGAGGCGCGCAAGGAGGAAGCACCCGAGGCTCCCAGTCGACCCCGTCAGCACGACGACCTTCTTGTGCCCAGCCACCGGCCTGCGTTTCGCCCGCGAGGCGCACACGTGCGCCGCGAGGCCCTCGAATGACCGCAGCACGTCAAAGTACTTCGCGAACATGTCCTCCATCGCCTGTACGCGGCGCTCCTCCCTCGTCGTCCCAGCGGCGTGCGCTGCCTTCGCCCCCGCCATAAGGCGTACAACGGCGCGGTGGAGCTTGTCGATCGAGGAGTTGTCGAAGCAGAAGTCGGACTCGATGTCCCGGATGGGGCCCGGCAGGTTGGGCGTGACCCGGAGTCCGTTCAAGATGGCACGTCGGAGCTGGCTGGCCTGTAAGCTATCCATGCCTGCCTCGAACAGGTCCATCGTATCAGTGATGTCTTCGTTGCCGGCGATGCCGTGTACGAGGCCACGGATGGACTCGAGCAGTGCGCGGCCGCCGTCGTGCAGCGAGGGGAAGGGCTGGGCACCTTGCATGTCCAATCTCT